CGGTGCGCCGGCCGCAGCGCGCTGGCCGCGGCAGCCATTAGAGGGTGAACCAACGGCAAAGGAAGACCTTTCTCTCTGTCTCTCTCTCTCACTGTCCACTCTGCCTGTCAAAAAAAAAAAAAAAAAAAAAAAAAAAAAAAAAGAAAATGAACATTATGAAAAAATTATGCATGATTTCAAAATTTTTTGAACCAATAGAAAATTCTTTTTAATCCCACTTTTTTTTCCTTATAAAGATTTATTTATTTATTTGAAAGTTAAGAGTTACACAGAGAGAGAAGGAGAGGCAGAGAGAGAGAGAGAGAGAGAGAGAGAAAGAGAGAGAGGTCTTCCATCCGCTGGTTCACTCCCCAAATGGCTGCAATGGCCGGAGCTGCACATATCTGAAGCCAGGAGCCAGGAGCTTCTTCCGGGTCTCCATGTGGCTGCAGGGGCCCAAGGACTTGGGCCATCTTCCACTGCTTTCCCAGGCCATAGCAGAGAGCTGGATTGGAATTGGAACAACGGGGACACGAACTGGCGCCCATATAGAATGCCGGCACCGCAGGCAGCGGCTTTATCCAATATGCCACTTTATCCACTATGCCACGCTGGCTTTAATCCCACTTTTCCGTGAACATTTTGAAGGGCCCTGAGATGAACAGCATGTGTAAAGAGAATCTAAGGGAAATAGGATCTGCCCTTGCAATTAACCTACTCTTAATTTTGGACAATGTTTCATTGACTAGCACTTGTCTTTTCCTTCTAAGAAGAGTATTCACAGAAGGGAAAAGAAATTCTTTAAGGAAAGGGTAGAAGAAAGAAACTGTTATTAATATGATTCAGTGTTTTTCTCTTTTTTTAAGCTTCTGGATATTCCTCTTATTTCAAACTCTCCCAGATTTCATTTTCTTTCTATAGATTTAAGATCATTCCTGCTCTAAAGTCTCGTTCTTCGCTCTGATGGTTTTACATATCCTTGATATATGAGCGTGCTTCAAAAACATGGGAAAATGTATGGAAAGATCAGTTTATTTGGGTGCAAGAAAAATTTTGGAATACATGTATAGCTTTTTAAAATAATATAAATTTGGGCCGGCACCGCGGCTCACTTGGCTAATCCTCTGCCTGTGGCGCCGGCATTCTGGGTTCTAGTCTCAGTTGAGGCGTCGGATTCTGTCCTGGTTGCTCCTCTTCCAGTCCAGCTCTCTGCTGTGGCCCGGGAAGGCAGTGGAGGATGGCCCAGGTGCTTGGGCCCTGCACCCACATGGGAGACCAGGAGGAAGCACTTGGCTCCTTTCTTTGTATTGGCACAGCGCGCCAGTCGTAGCAGCCATTTGTGGGGTGAACCAACGGAAGAAAGACCTTTCTCTCTGTTTCTCTCTCTCACTGTCTAACTCTGCCTGTCAAAAAAAAAAAATAATATACATTTTTCATGAACTTTTTCAAGAACCCTCATCTAATTTCATTTTTTGCACCAAAATAAGGCTTATTTTTAATTCCATCTTTCCACAAACTTTTGGAAACCCCTGCATATAAGGATATCAGCAAATAGTTTTACAAAGAGGCAGCTTCATTGCCTGATGAATAGGTATTAGCTCCCAATGTGTGCCCAGCACTGTGCAAGAGGCTAGAACTGTGACAGAAGTGGTGCTCTGAATCCAAATGACTTATTTTCACCTTTGTGTACTGTTACTCTAATGTCTTCTCTGAACATATTTTTAGTCTAACACTTAGACCAGGAAGTTTGGGATATGGCTACTTATGAAGAAAGGATTACTCTTTTTTTTTTTTTTTTTTTTTTAATATTTGCAGGGCTACAAGGTGGGAAAGCAAATTTATCCTTACCTGTGTAATATAAATTTTCACGAAGGAGTCACCACACTTTAGACAAAATTCTCTTCACTGGTTTTGATTGTTGGAAATTTTCTGATGTCCATGAACTGTTTAGTGCAATGTTGGTCACCAAGCAGACTACCCTTTCTTCTCCAACCAAACTAGATGATGACTATGGATTCCACACCGGCCCAGTTAGTGTACTGAAATGTTGATAGAGGCTTTGAGGCAAAAAATAATCATTTTCTTACATTCAGTCTTCAATTTAGTGAAGTAAATTTTATTTATTTTTTATTTATTTATTGGTGAATAAGAAGACAATGATATGTGGCGTCAGTGTGCAGAACTGTTAGATTCAAATCCTTGCTTTGCACGTATCTGCTATTGGATCCCGAGCAAGTTACTGAACTGCTCTGTGCCACAGTTTCTTTGTTTGTAAAATGTTCATAGTGATATGTTCCATATAGACTTGTTATGAGGATGAAGAGTAACCTTTGGAGGACTTGTGGGGAATGGATGCTTATTTAAAACAAAAGTCTCAGAAAATGAAGCACATACAGTTCCAATTGAAATCAGAGGCACCTGCAATTGTTATCTGTCCGAATCTAGACTTCTTCATGAGTGATTTCGTTTTGAACAACGCGTATGCCTGTTATAGTAGAATGAATGACAGCCTTCTGACACCAGTGGAGCATTCTGGCTGATTGCTGAATGGCCACCCAGCATGATAAAGTGCCAGTTTGTTTTTTCTGGGGAGAGATTTCCAAACACTAGTCATTTGGGAGCTATAACAGGGATGGAAGTTACTACTGAAAAGGTGAACTTGACAAATGAATTATGGATCTGTTGATAAATTGAATGAATTGGATTTGATAAATTAATTTATATGATGGACTGATTGGGAGAGCAAATGTGAAAACCACTAGCTGTAAAGAACTACTTAATTGCACCGTTTCTCCTTCAGTTTCATTGTTATTTGTGTGATTTCAAATAATTGGCTCTGAAGTGGTTTTTTAAAATTTTTCTTATAAAGTGTTCTAAAAAATGGCTTTTGGTTCTATTCTGTGTTCCTGGTGTGTTTACCTTTGTATTTTAGCAAAAGCAACCAAAGTCCTCAAAGTTTGACTTGAAGAGATAGCGTTAACTATCTATATTTTTGTAGCAGGCAGCATACTGCTGTAAGAATTTTATTCTATATACTTAGTTTATAAATTTTTGTTTTCTTTTTTTTGCCCCACAGCAATATGAAACTTGCTGTAAGTGGACTGTCCTTTATAATTGTTAAAAATTTTCTATCAGAGATTATTAGATACTGAAGGAGACAAATGTACCAAACTTATAAATATATTGCATTGGGTTACTAACAATAGACCTAATTGATAAAAGTGATTTAATATATGTTGTGTTAATAGCTAAACCTCCAAAGCCCCTAATCTCCCATGGAAATATTGCTTTGTAGAACAAAATCCAATGAGAAGTTCTGGGATTCCAGAGTGAATTTGTACATTCCTTAGGGGCATTTTTGCAAGGGAGGTTGTTGTGTTTTAAAGGTAGTTGATAAGAGACCTGCACCACCAACCCCAGACCTGCACCACCAACCACCATCATGCATTAGTCTATAGAAGGTATTTGGGTGTACGTACTCCTGTACCACTCGGTACCACCATTTAGCCAAGGGAAGTTTCTGACCATTTGCAGCATACATTATAAATCAGGATGTCACTACCAGACAATCAGATTTGAACATTCCATGAACAAAGTAGCCTATATTCCCTAGGAATAGATCACTTAACTATGTTTATGTCATGCTGTTGATATGCCTGAATTTACACAAGTCAGGATAACACATTGTTTATTTATTTTAGGAGCAGGTAATTGATCTGTATATTTACCTAATTTTGGGTTAATTAGCCAAAAATTGAAATGAGTAATTTAACATGATTACTTAAATACGGCGGGGGTTGGGAGGGGAACACAATTATTCTTCCAACCCCGAAAATTACCCTTATCCTGTGGGTTTGTGAAAGAGTAATTTTGAGTCTTCTCCAAGTTGGGCTGATGTTGGCTGCTCTCTTTAAAAAACTTTCCTTCTTGGCACAGAGTACTTGGGAAGGACACTGGCCAGATATTTGGGGAAGCTTGGAGGATTTCCAACTGCCAAACGAGTCCCCTGGAGAGAGCCAGGAAAATTGCAGAATGTATCTGTTGAATGAAATGAACTTGTTTAAGTCGTATTCGATTTCTAGCGTTCCTGCCATTCAGGGATGTGGTAACCTTCATTGCCAAATGTGTGCACTTTGGTTGATAGCAGAGATTTTTGGGATTTTGGGTCTTTTTGTTTTTTGAATATTTCAGAATTAAGCTGACAACTTACAAGTTAGATTTTTTAAAAAATCCAACATGTTAATCTGTGTCTAAAAGCTGCTATATGTGATTTAGTAATAAAAAGCCACTTTGAAGAATATTGAGTGGGAGACTCACTAAAGCACAGCCAAGCAAATGAAAAGTCACTCATGATGTTATCAACCAGAGATAACCACTGTTAACATTCTGGCCTTTTTTTTTTTTCCTTTTCTTTCTTTTTTTTTAAATATGTGACTGTTATAGGTAAAAATTTGCCTCTTATTTTTGCTACATTATAAAAATATCTCAAATACTTTGAAATTCTTCATAAACATTTTTATCAGTTCTTAAAATGATAATGCACAAACAGAAAAGAGAAACATTTAATCTTTTTCTTACTATTGGACATTGAGGAGGTTTGCAGTTTCCTTTGTTAGAAATAATGTCATGATGAAAATCTTTATTCTTTTACAAAAATCTTTGTGAAGTTATCTGGCTAGTTCTTGTGAAGTTCTGAGAAGGAAAAGTACTCGTTTAAGAATAAACATTGTTTGAAGGCAAGATACCTGTTGTCAAGTCACTTTCCAGATGGGTCGCATCAAAGCACACGCCAGTCAACTGGGGAAGAAAATGGTCCTCCCCTGGACCTCCGTGAAAATCTTTTTATATTATCGTTTCAAAAATGTTTTCCTGCTTTTATAAATCGTTTGAATTCCTTGGATAACTGATTAGTTGAGTAATTTTGATTATTATAAAAATTTGCATTTCTTCAGTGAGAAGTCTGTGGGGACCTCATTTTTTCTTTTTTTTTAACCACCTTTCTGTTTCTTGCTGTGTTGCAGAATGTCACAGTGGGCATTTTCGTTGTGGAAACGGACATTGCATCCCTCTGTCTTGGAGATGTGATGGAACCAGAGATTGCTTGGATGACACAGATGAAGCTGGCTGCCGTAAGTGGGGAGGTGCAGGCTGAGCCCTGTTTTGAGTAGGCTGTTAGTGGCAATTTCAGTTGTGCTTTTGGGGAATAGAGCCAGGCTTGTTCAGCTTGTTCAGATCTTTTGAGATCTGTGTGGTTGAAGAGGGAACTGATGGCATTATTCCTTGTTTTACTCCCTTTCAGTTTAATCAGTTTCCATCTTATCTGTACCCATGATTATTTCTTTGATGCAGATATAAATTTGTGAGTGGTTTTCTGAAGCCTGCAAATGACTATTTTGATTATTTGCTTGGGAAGTTTTGTGCACCAACAAGAACAACAACAAAAATAATATTATCCGAATTACCATAATTTGAATTCGAGGAGTCTACTTTTGATTTTTCATTTTATTTAAACATTGTTTTAAAAGATTTTATTTATTTATTTGAGAGGCAGAGTTAGAGGGAGAGAGAGAGAGAGAGAGAGACAGAGAGAGACACACAGAGAGAGACAGAGAAAGAGGTCTTCCATCCACTGATTCACTCCCCAGATGGCCATAATGGCTGGAACTGGGCCAATCTGAAGCCAAAAGTCAGGAGCTTCTTTCAGGTCTCACACGTAGGTGTAGGGGCTGAAGCACTTAGACCATCTTCCACTGCTTTCCCAGGCACATCAGCAGAGAGCTGTATAGGAAGTGGAGCAGCCATATGGGATGCTGGCACCGCAGGTGGATGCTTAACCTACTATGCCATAGCACTGGCCCCTTATTTAAACATTTCAAATTTATTTATTTTATTTATTGGAAAGGCAAGGGGGAGAGAGAGAAAGAGAATGAGAGTGAGAGAGGGTCCCATCTGCTTGTTCAATTCCTAAATGCCTATTAGCAGACAGGCCTGGTTGCAGTGAAGCACAGAACTAAATCTGCTTCGGTGGCAAGTGCTTACAAGGCTGCCTATTAGCTGGAAGCAGGAGCAGAGCTGGGACTCAGACCTAGGCACTGGGATGTGGTTTGTAGGCATCCCAAGCAGCATCTTAACCACTATTCCAATACCTGCCCCGAGAAGTACATTTTTTTTTTTTAAGGTTTGTTTATTTGAAAATCAGAGTGACAGAGAGAGAGAGAGATAGTTTGATTGAGGGACACACACACACACACACACAAACACACACACAGATCGTCCATTTGCTGGTTCACTCTCCAAATGGCCATAACAGCTGGGGCTGGGCCAGGCTGAGGCCAGGAGCCAGTATCTATCTCCTTCCAGGTCTCCATTTGGGTGATAAGGCCCAAGTACTCAGGCCATTATCTGCTGCCTTCCCAGGCACATTAGAATGAAGCTGGATCAGAAGCAGAGTAGCTGGCACTCAAACTGGCACTCCAGTACTGGATGCTGGTGTTGTAAGAGACAGCCACAGGTAGCAGGTAAAGCTGCTGCCTGCGTGCCAGCATCCCATATGAGTCCTGGCTGCTCCCCTTCCAATCCAGCTCTCTGCTATGGCCTGGGAAAGCAATAGAAGGTGGCCCAAGTCCTTGGGCCCCTGTACCTGCATGGGAGACCTAGAGCAAGTTCCTGACTCCTGGCTGCAGATCAGTGCAGCTCTGGCCATTGCAGCCAATTGGGGAGTGAACCAGCGGATGGAAAACCTCTCTCTTTCTCTCTCTCTGCCTCTCCTTCTCTCTTTGTGTAACTCTGACTTTCAAATAAATAAATAAATAAATCTTTTTTTTTTAAGAGACAGCTATAATACTGGCACAAAGGAGCCTATTTTCGAATAAAAGATGTAGTGTAACTTGTGTGAATTACCATAAAGAAATCAGAAAAATGGCTAGTGTATTCTTGAGTTTTTAAGAAAAAATTCTAATTAAAAAGTAAGACTACATAGTAAACAAACTAACAGGATGAATGCAGCAGTCCTTCCACATAGAGGGAGAGGCAGACATGGATAATGATGGGAGCCTGGCCCACAAAGAGATGCTGCAGATTCCTGAGCTGGATTGTAAGAGTGCTGACTTCCTCCCACCTGGCTAAATGACTTGTAATCAGAACTTATTGTGTCAAAGGTGTCATGAATTATAAATCACTTTTACATATAATTCATCAACAATCTTCAGAGGTAGGTTTCAGATTAGGAAACTGAGGCTTAGAGAAGTGAAGTCATTTACTAAAGGCCTCAGTGTTGGAGAGTGCCAGGCACAAATTCCAGCTTTAAGTCCGTGATGCTTCCCAACCTGCCTTGGGTGATCAAGCACTCTGCTGCAATTTCCTTCTTTCTGGGAAGCAAATGGACAAAGGCTATCATCCAAAAACCAGTGGCGGTGGAAAGTAGATGGCAAAATTAATTTGGCTTTGAATTGTTGGCCATTCTATGGCACACCAGTGAAATTGGCTTGTTCAGAAAATGGTGCATTTGAAGGGTGAGGAATAGGTCCAACTTTGACACACAAATGGATCACCTGGGATCTGGTTAAGGAGCAGATTTGGATTCCATGTGTTTGTGGTGGGTCCTGAGGTTCATCATTTCTCCAGGATTCCAGTCGATGCTGATCCTGCTCTTCTGCAGACCATACTTTGGGCAAAGGAAATAGCTATATTTGTGGAGATGTGATCAAATGCTACCAATTTGACTCCTCTGGGCTTACTGAGTTCATTTTTTGCTAAACAATAGGAACAAAAAGTCAAGTAACAGTGTACCTGGGATAAAACAATAAATGAGCAGTTACATCAACAACAATCACAGGGATTGCTATTATATTTCAATGTCCTACAATGATAATAGTAATATTACCAACAATAGGAGTAGCAACTAACATTATGTGGCACTGTTGAGAACATTATTAAATTTTTTTTGCAACAAACCATGAGATAAGAATAGTCTCCATTTTATGATGCATACATTAAAGTTCAGAAAACCTTCCAAAACTCCTAAAGTAAGTAAATTGTGGAAATAATAGTCATTTAATTCTGGTTTGGTCATCCTTTCCAAGTATCATGGAGTTTTGGACTCATGCTATTTAACTATTGGCTATTACAAAACATTTCAAATAATTTAACAATAACTCATGGTTAACTTTTACTTCAAAACTTAATGTGATGCTTTTGTCCTAAGTTTGCACAAAAGCATGTGTCTAGCCTGTTCTATGTTTCTGTGTTGATTTGGATCATCATTTTGTTGAGACACCATTGCAGGGATTATTTGACAGTGAACTGTCATTGCAGGCTACAGATTATCCTAAGACATGTTGACCATTTGCCTTCAGATATCTGGAGGAGTTGATACACATTTTTTTTTAAATCAGCTTTGGTAAAATGGGGGTGTTTGTTTGCCCTAATGAGTGCTTTTTTCTGGTTTGTTTTAGCTCATCCCTCCTGCCATCCGGGCTTTTTCCAGTGTCAGAGTGATGGGGCCTGTATCCCACACTCCTGGGTATGTGACAGTGATCTGGACTGCCAGGACGGCTCAGATGAACAGCAGCAGCATTGCCGTAAGTGATTAGAGAGGAATCTCGTTTGGGTCCTTTGGACATATGAAATCTAGCCTAGCACAAATAGGTGACTGCCAGGCCCGAAGTGGTGAGGGAATCCGAATCAGCTGTTTCATCCAGGGGTTAGATGATAGTGAAAACATGAGTGGCCTGAAGAATTGTAACCCTGGTCTTTAATTTGGATGTGTTAGACTCAAGCAAGAAGCATTTTTATTGGTATTTGTGGGTGAGGGTCTTGGCATGCGTGCTTAGCAGGTGGATGAGTCCTTTCGCTCCTGTGGTGCACTCTGCATTGGAACTCTCCATCCCTTCTACCTCACTATTAAACCGCCTTCTCTGAGATTGAGTGAAGTGGGAGCTGGTAGGTGCATCTGTAGGAGGCATTGTTGGTGGTTGCACAGTAACTGCTGCTGTAGGATAGGCTGCAACAAGAAAGAAAATAGTAGCAATGAAGTAGACCTGGGAAACAGTCAGATTCCTGGGCATTGACGGGGTTCGAGATATTACCTGTAAGAAAGTTCTGATTTCCCCAGGCATAAAACTGGAAAAGAGTGTTTTAGTGCGAATGAAAATAATTTTGGGTGGGAGAATTATCTTGGGTAAGTATAAAATGGAAAACTGGGAGAAGTTTGCCTTCCGTGCATAATTTCATTGCTTTGCCTATAAGGATGTTTGTATAATTTTAAAACCACCATTGTAGCATTGTGGGCATTTTCATTCCTACAAGGAAGGAAAGCCACAGCTTAAAGAAAAAGGAGATCTATATATGTGGGGAGCAACTGGGAGCAACTCGGACTAGACTAAGTTACTGGAATTAAGACTTATTCTATGCATCTGCTCTCCCACAATATGGCGCTGGGAGAGGAGGAAACAGCTTCTACACAGCTGCCTCCAGTTCAACCAATAAGCAGCAGGAGCTGCTCCTGATTGGAGGAGAGCAGCTTACCGGGCGTGTGGGTAGCAGAGTTGGGATTGGTGGAAGAGGACTATAAAGGAGGAGAGAGACAACATGCACCAGGAACATCTAAGGGGAACATCTATCTGAAGGAACACCTGAGGAACATCTGAGCAGCCCCCGAGGGAGCCGGCCGGCGGTGTGCCGCTCCCCCGCGGAAGTGGGGAAAGTGGCAGGGGGAACCGCCCTTCCACGGAGGTGGAAGGGACGGTAGCCAACCCGGGAAGAACCAGCAGCAAACCCGGGGAGGGCCGAGCAGACGGAAGAACAGCACAGGGTCCTGTGTTGTTCCTCCACGAAGACAGGGAGCGACATATATAGTAAGAAGCCTAAGTGTAGGTTGTTCCAGTTTTGACTAATTTCCAGCTCAATAGCATTATTCACTTTCTCCCACTTTTCTGCCCTGTTTTATTTATTCTGTTAGTTTCCTGTGATTACATGAAAGTTGGTAATGTCTCGCATTTAGATTCCTATAATGTATCTTTCAATATCCACAAGAAAGAACATCAAAATCCTCCCCCCCCCCTTTTTTAAGGCTTATATACTTCTGCTCCCCCCCCCCCCCAAAAAAAAAGGAAAAGAAACCCTGGAAAACCTTTCAGCAGGTCTAGCTTGGACCAATATGGAAACTGGAGAGAAGGCTGGAATGAACCACCTCATGGCCTTGACCCCAGCTACCCCTTTTTTAAATTAATTTATTTATTTGAAAGAGTTACACAGAGAGAAAAGAGGCAGAGAGAGAGAAAGAGAGAGAGGTCTTCCATCTACTGGTTCACTCCCCAAATAGCCACAATGTGCAGAGCTGTGCCAATCCAAAGTCAGGAGCCAGGAGCTTCTGTCAGGTCTCCCAAGCAGGTGCAGGGGCCCAAGGACTTTGGCCATCCTCCACTGCTTTCCCAGGCCACAGCAGAGAGCTGGAAGAGAAGTGGAGTAGCCGTGTCTTGAACTGGTGGCCATATGGAAAGCTGGCACTGCAGGTGGTGGCTTTACCCCCTACACCACAGTGCCCGGCCCCATCCCAGCTCCCCTTTGGAAGTGTCCAGCTCTAACCCCTTTGTGGCATTCATCATTCATTTCACCACATTGTGCCTCATTACATGCATGTCTTAGAAACCATGGACACTTGTCATCATTCTATGCTGGTGACATCAGTCAAGATTTAGTTGGCATTTCCACATAGTCACTGTCCACAAAGATCAAAGAAGAAACATTGTGTTTTTGATGACTACTTTGATTACTTCATATGGATTTTGTTTAGGTTTTTTTTTTTTTTTATTTGACAGAGTTAGACAGTGAGAGAGACAGTGAAAGGTCTTCCTTCTGTTGGTTCACCCCCAAAATGGCCGCTATGGCCAGAGCTACACTGATCCGAAGCCAGGAGCCAGGTGCTTCTCCTGGTCTCCCATGCGGGTGCAGGGGCCCAAGCACTTGGGCCATCCTCCACTGCCCTCCCGGGCCACAGCAGAGAGCTGGACTGGAAGAGGAGCAACCAGGACTAGAACCCGGCACCCATATGGGATGCTGGTGCCGCAGGCGTAGGATTAACCAAGTCAGCCATGGCGCTAGCCCCAGGAATTTGTTTAGTTTTTATAGTGACTAGCAATGGTGATTCCATGGCCTTCAGTATAAAAGATTGGAATTTAGCCCAGGTCTGTAGAATTTAGTATTGAGTGTGAATTCTTTTCAGTTGGGCCACTGAATGCCAAGGACCTTTTGAGGAAGAGAATGCCTCAAAATTCTCAGAATACCCAGAAGTTTTGATTTGGTTTATGCATAAAATGAAGACTATACAATTAAATAGCCTGTTAGGCTGGCCATGGGGTCTGCCAGCAACCAAGAGATGCTAATGATTGCGATGGCATGGTTAAGGGGAAACCAGCAACCTTGGGGCTGTGAAGGGTGGTGGTGGGACTGTCCTGAGAAAGACTGGGACAGGAACTGACTGGGCATGCCATGTCCAGATGGGATCCAACTATGTGTCAGGAATTGAGGTGGAAAAGCCAAAGGGGACTGCCAGATCTGGAAGAGGGAGATGGGAGATGGAAGTTCAGAAGTACTAAGAAGAGGAGGGAAAGCATGAAGCACAGAAGGGAGCAGGAAGAACTCACTCGTAAGGAGTGTGCCTGGACCATGATATTCTCTGTGGCGTCTCAAAGGCCCTGGGGACTTGGGGAGCGAGGGTGGCCTATAGATACTGGTGCTCAATGGGGACAGGATGCAGCTGGATTGGGACTCTCTGCAGAGTGGTGATAATGCTTTATTCAGCTTTATGTCCCCAAGACCTGGCATTCTGTCTGCCAAAGAGTAGAGTCTTTATAAATAGACACCAAATGCAGGCATGACGAGTTATGCACTTTTTGGCTAGATGTGCCATTTTGGCTCCATTTTCACTTGCTTCAGGCATAGATTGTGAAGAACGCTGAGCTGTCTTTTGGGTTACAACTTGTGATAGATGGCCCTTTACTAGTGATAACACTTTGCAGAGGGAATATGAGGTGCTAAGAGCCACTGCTTAGGGAAAGAGACTGGCAATAATGTTTATAGCAGTAAATTATAAGCATTGCTACAATCATTTTAAATGAGTATGGATTTCATATGGTAATTCTCATATTTTAATGATAAAAAGCTTCTTTATTAGATATTCTTTAATCACAGACAAAATATGCCACTGCTATGCTCACTCAGGTCATCGGAGGACTCCTGATTGCCAACTGCAGTGGACACTTTTCCTTCCTCGCCACACTGAATGGACTTTTCTACTGCACTGCCTCGGCTGCTGAAACTCCCTAGTCTCTTGTCTCGCTTCTTAGCTGCTCTGGTCTTTCAGTTTTGTTTTCCCCTTCTCCTCAGTCTTTGAGTATTGGTGCTGCTCAGAGAACTGCCATTTGTGGCTCTTCCCATTCTATACACTGTCCCAGGATGATCTTGCCATTCTCATGATTTTGGTGATGCTCTGTGGACTGGTGAGACCTAAATCTATAAATCCAGCTCAACTCAAGATGTCCCAACTGAACTAGTCGTCTTTTCATCTGAACTGACTTTTCTTTCTATGTTTGCTTGTTTGCATGTTTCTACCTTGATTCATAGGAATAAAATGTATTCCGCAAGAAGATATTAGCAGAAAGTATAAAATCAATCCTCAAACTAGAGTTTTGTGAAATTATTTTATAATGAAAGTATTTTATTACTTAAAAAAGTTTTTTGTGACATGAAAGATGGAATCAATTAACATGAACATGTTTCATGATCACCTTGGCACCCATGGTAGAAACTTGGAAGTTGCTCTTGGTTCTTGCCTATTGCCCACATTTAGTCACCAACTCCTGCCTAACATGTCTGAAGTGTATATTTTCTTTTCATTTATGCTACCACTGCGAACCTCTCTCATCCGGGTGATGGCAGCAGCCTTTGAACTGGCCCTTCTGTCTCCTATCTTGTGCCCCCAACACTGATGCTGGAAAGATCTAACTAAAACTTTTGGTAGCTCTCCACTTCCAGGAGAAAGTTCCAGATCCCTTTTACAGTTCACAGTAGCCTCCTAGATGTGGCTGGGTTGACTTTTCCATGTCTAACAACTTGCCATTGAATTGTCCATTCGTGGCCCACCCTTTTGCTGCCAGACTGCTTGGTTCCAGGTAGCTCCTTTTTCTTTTTTGCTGTAGCTAGCATCTGATTCAGGCCAGGAGGAGAAACTGTCCCTGTGCACGATGCTATCCGTCAGTGAATTAGGCACCCACCGTGGTGCATCTGTACTTCCTGTGTGCCTATAAGTCCACTTTCACAATTGTCTTCTAATTATTTCTCCAGGTCTCCCCAAGGAGAATGAGCTCCTTGAGGGTGGCAGTTGTGCCTTTTCATCTTTGTATTCTCTTTGCTGGTGTACTTTGTGGTACACAACAGCCCTCAATAGATGTTTGTGGAACAATGTGATTTCAATTTGTCCTTTCTCTACATTTGAATGAGCTTTTACTGCTGGTTCATAAATCATTTGAAATCTAAGCAGAAGGCATAGAAATATTTGACTAGAGTTTAAGGAGAAAGGCAAGGAACTAAAATAAAAGCTCCTGGTTTAATTTCATATTTTGTATAAGGCGACTCATGACTTGCCTTTTCAGGAATAAAGAAAAGGAATAAATATAAGAAGGCTCTTTAATTTTATGTGGAAATTGGCAATGCATACTTAAATTTAGCGAGGAAGTATTAACCTTCTCAACTTTATTCAGATAAAATCATATCTTCGCTGCAGTCAGAGTTCAGACATTTAACTGCCTGCCTTCTGGAAGAGTCTATTCTTTGTAGTAGAAGTAAAATTTAACCCACAGTTATAAACTAACAGGAGAAAATATGGAGTCATACTGTCAAAATGTCAGGTATAGGCTGGCTGGGAACTTCTGTTTGTTATTCAAGAGTTACATGACACATTCCTGATGAGTCTATTTTATTGGTTAAGCAGAAAATATAGGAACAAAGTGACAAGGAGGATGTAATCAATTAGGTGTCAAAAAAGGGATTAATTATGTATGTTTAAACTGTCAAGTACAACTCTAAAACTGTCATTTTCTGCTTGTCTCTTAGACAGATATTCCTTGTTAAGTTTTGATGGCACATTTCTTAACAGATGTCAGATTTTATTAGAAGATCAAAGTTTGCTGAACCTATGTGTCTTTACTCTGTAGAAGTATAGGAAATTCTGTAAAACTCCAGGATAAAACTTTTCCTTCCGTTAGAGGGTTACAGTCTTCCTTTATTTAAAAATATTTTTATTTTATTTATTTGAAAGGCAGAGTTACAGAGAGAGAGAGAGGGAAAGAGAGAGAGAGAGGGAAAGAGAGAGAGAGAGAGATCTTCCATCTGCTGATTCACTCCCTAAATGGCTACAACAGCCAGCACTGGGCCAAAGCTAGGGGTCAGGAGTTTCTTCTAGGTCTCCCACATGGGTGCAGGGGGCCCAAGATCCTGGGCCATCTTTCGCTGCTTTTCCAGATAGTTAGCCGAGAGCTGGAGCAGAAGTGGAGCAGCTGGACTCTCACTGGTACCCATGTGGGATGCCAGGATCGCAGGCAGAGGCTTAACCTGCTCTGCCACAATGCTGGCCCCTGTGTTACAGATTCTTCTTTTTATGTGGACAATTTAAAAATTCCATTCCATAATAAATTAATATTCCCAAGTCATGGTAATTCCTGCCTCAGATTTACAGAGTAGCCTTCACATCTTGCTTGCAGGCATTGATTCATTTGATTTTATTGATTTATCCAGAGGCAAATTCAAAAAACTGCTGATGTCTTTGCTCTACTTACTTTAATTAGGACAGGACAAAATCAAATGGGAAAAATCAAGCTAATTATAAGTTTATTTCACTTAGATTGACACATGGTCAATGCAAGATAGTTTATATAATAGAGAAGGCTAAAAAAATGCACTCATTGTCATTGCTCAGGTGTAACTATTGCTAACTCTTTGACATATTTTTGTTTTGTTAAAAGAAGGATCTCAATGTGGAGTGTGAACCATCCTTGGTTAATGCTTACATCTGCAAAAGTCTTATTTCATTCATCTTCTTTACCATTGCTTTTCAATCTATATTGTGTTGTGAACACACATTGATGATGAAATTGACCACACGAGTCCATTTAAGTGTCAATACTATTAAGATACCAATAATAGCTTTGCTTTTGCACTGTGAGCTCGGCTTGGCAGTAGTTGCTATCCCTAGTGTTCCTAAGAACTTTATGTTAAATATACCCTGTACTTGCCCTTTCTTTGCAATACTCTCACCAACATTTGGGAAATATCAATAGATTAATCTGTGTCTGGCGGTATTAAAAATGCAGTAATATTTTTTCCCCTTCACAGCTGGGAGAACATGCTCGAGTCACCAGATGACGTGCTCCAATGGTCAGTGCGTCCCCCGCGAGTACAGATGCGACCGCGTCAGAGACTGCTCGGATGGAACTGATGAGAGAGACTGCCGTGAGTCCCTTTCAGTCCTTGCACTGTCTTTAGTTTCACCCTTGTCCCTTTGGCATTTTAATCAATTTGTTAGGTTTGTTGATGGACAGAAATGCCTACAATACACCTGTTGTTATTGAAATCTCTTGGCAGATTCTTTTGTGGATTAGAGGTGATGTTCTGATAGGAGTCTGTTTTTCACAGGACAATCTAAGTGTGTCCTGCCCTAGCACATCAGGTTATTATGTTTTTTGAAGTCAGAAACTTCTAACATTAGCACAGCATCCGAGAGGATCACTGAATACCTGGAGTACAAAATCCAGTTTGGTTAATTTTAACTTTTTTATACCGCTGTGGTAAGTTTCTGGGTCAAATTTCTCATTAGTTTTTCTGCTCTTGTGGACTCAACATTTTCTCTCTTTCTTGCTTTTTGAAGATTTATTTTATTTCTTTGAAAGACAGAGTTACAGAGAGCGAGAGTGAGAGTGAGAACGAGAGAGAGATCTTCCATCTTCTGATTCACTCCCCAAATGACAGCAACAGCCAGGACTGGACCATGCCAAAGGCAGAAGCCAGGAATCTCATCTGGGTCTCTCATGTAGGTGCAGGGGCCCATGGACTTGGGCCATCTTCCACTGTTTTCCCAGGTGCATTAGCAGGGAGCTAGATTGAAAGTGGAGCAGCCGGAACTCCGGTGTTGTATGCAGTGGCTTAACCTGTTACACCACAATGCTGGCCCTGGACTCAACATTTTCTGGCTTACCTTTGTAAAGTGTGACATATTGCAAATGGCTCTATCTAAAATAACAGCATTCTATATCAGTCTGTGACTAAACGCAAAAAGAGATTCAAATAACAGTATAGTATGTATAACATATAAATATTACCATAATCCAAATAAGAAAGGGTGATGATGGTACATTGTGCACCAACAAATAAGTAAAGAGTAACTTGACTTTCTTGCAATTTATTTACATATCCATGTTTTGAAATCCATGCATAGATTTTTCATAATGTACATTTTTCATCAACTTTTTAAAAATCCTTATATGGATGGATTTCAGATTTTTTACTGCATAACAACATCTTTTAAAAAATTATTTGCTATTTATTTATTTATTTGAAATGCAGAGACACAGAGAGAGAGAGAGATACCCAAATCCCTGCAATAACTGGGGCTGGGCCATGGTAAAGCCAGGAGCCAGAAACTCAATCTAGGTTCCCATAATGAGTAGCAGGAACCATCACCTGCCCTCTTCCAGGATGTGCATAAACAGTAATTTAGATCAGGAATAGAGGTGGGGATTGATTCTAGGCACTCCCGCCTGGGATGTACACGTCTCAAACTGGGTCTTAACTCTAAGCCAAGTGCACATTCTCAAAAGTTATATCCTTTGATTCTGTTTTCCATGAACCTTTGGAAATACCCTGCTATACAGAAAAGGAAAAACTTGTGCCTAAAATGGTCCAGATTCTTGCTGTATCCATGCCCTTGTCACACTCTACGTTAAAAAACAAACAAACAAACAAACAAAAAAAACTCTTCAATACTTCTTCCCTGTCTTGTTATTTTTCTTTTAGAGAAGGGGCTGTGCTATTTTTTTAAAGTATTATTTTATTTATTTGAAAGGCAAAGTGACAGAGAAAGAGGGAGAGACAGATCTTCCATCCTCTGGTTCAGTCCCCAAAAGGCTGTGAAACCAGTAGCCTAGAATTTGATCTGAGATCCTGCTACAGAGATAGCGGGGCCCAGCATTTGGGCTGCCTTCTGCTCCCCCAGGCACATTAGCAGGGAGCTGGATCAGAAGTGGATCCGCGGTTCTGAGGCTGATGCTCACTTGGGAAACCGGCCTCCCGGTGGCCACTTAACCTGTTAACGCCACAATGCTGGCCCTGTGGGCTGTTTGTTTTTGTCTATTTCCTGACAGAGTTCCTGCAACAGTTCTGTTCTGGTATAATTTCCATAGTAAATGTTCTTTTTTGAAAAAGACTGTTATCTCCGATTTGGATTTCCCTTCACTTTGGAAATCATGCAGAGAATTTAGACTCATCAGTGGCAGTCGGAGATGGTTGTGTATATCCAGTTGCCACAAAACAGTAAGTTCATGAGTTAAGGACTCTTAATAGTTGGTAAAGCAAATGGTAGGTCTCTCATTGAGGCAAATAAAGGAGAGATTTTTGATTAATAGTAGTGATAGATTATATTTTGTAGCATATTGTAAATTTTGGAGTATTATAGAAATTCTGGTTATTATTAGATTCCTCATGAAAGATAATAGGGCAGGCATTTTCATACTCTCTTATGAATAAAGAAATGAAAGCTTCAAAGGGGAGACTGGCTTGTTCAAGGGTGTGTGGCAGAGCTAGGGCTCATCCTGTGTTCTGGCTCCAAGTCTGGTGGCTGCGTTTTGTGGAGGACTTTATTGACACAAGAGGAAGACCTGCCTTGTGCAAGTTTAAGAGAGCACGAGGCCTGTGCCCCCAGTCAGCAGTCTGTGTCTTTATCCCTTATTTACAAGTGGAGAAAAGTGAGTGCAGTATTGCAAATGCAATGGGACTGAAGGAAACCGCCACTCTGGGGCAAAGAAAAGGCAGCTGCAGCAGACTGGGTCTTTTCCATGTGAACTCTCTGCAGCCAAGTGTAATGTCACTGGTACAGTTGCATCACAGCTTTGCCACTGGACCTTCTAGAATAAACCTGGCAGGAGGTGAGCATGCAAGTAGTTGTGATAAAGAGAATGAAGGAAAGGAAGTGAGCTTTATAAACTATATCTGGGCAGGAAGTTTTAAATAAATACTTTTCAAGGGCAAGCGACTGGTGAAATAAGGACTTCTCCAGGGAAGGGAGCCAGATTTCTAACTCACTGTTTCTGGACGCATACAAGTCAAGTCATGGATGCTTCAGGGCACACGGTGACCCTAAACAACTCTCACACATGGCAGGGGTCTTGCAATAAGGTGCTCTTTCCTATTTTCTTCTACCTTTTTCATTACTACGTTTTATTTATGGAGGAGTGTAAAAAAAATCCCATAAGTCAGAGGAAATTAAGAAAGAAATCTTCCTGCTTCCTTGTTAGTGCTTTGATCTGGTCACAGCTAGATGCAGACAAGAAGGAAATGAATGGCCTGGATCAAAGTCTTTAGACAGTGCCAGGATGGGGGAGGGGAGGAGAATTGGCCCTATCTCCACTACCCCCCCCTCCAAAGCTTTGTGGAAAGTGGGAAAAGGAACTGCCATTCAACTGGCACCAATCACTAATTTACACTTCTCCTATCAATCCTGCCATGCAGATGGGATACTTTCCCAGATCTGCCAGGATTATTAAGGGTTATCAAGCAGCAAGGGTGGAGGAACAAGAATTTTAACCTAGGGCTACACATTATGCCAATGCACTCAGAATTCTTTTCTCCAGCAATGGAAGTTTATAAAGGGTTTTTGCCTGAAGGTTACTTAGCTATTTTATTATTACTTTTTAAAAAATCTCTACTTAAAGCTTTTATTATAGAAGATTTTAAATGTAAACTCTTTTGCACTAAGCATTCAGTTACATCAATTATCAGCTTGTAGTTAATGTTGCCTACATCTCCCACCTATTATTTTGAAGTAGTTATCAAATATCCTAAATTTCATCTGTAAAATTGCAAAACTGTCTTTAAAGTTTAAGGACTAAAACATAACCATAACACCATTGTCATTTATAAAAATTAAACATTCTTTAATTATAATCAGAAATAGTCATTTTTTATTTTATTATTTTTTAAAAAGATTTATTTATTTATTTATTTGAAAGGCAGAGCAACAGAGAGGAAGAGAGAGAAATTTTCCATCCACTGGTTCACTCCCCCAGAGGACAGCAACAGCTGGGGTTGGGGGAAGCCAAAGCCAGGGGCCGGGAGCTTCATCCAGGTCAGGGATGGAGGCAAGGACCCAATCACTTGGGCCATCTTCCACTGCCCTCCCAAGTGCATGAGCTGGAGTGGAAGTGGGGCAGCCAGGACTGGAACTGCTGCTCTTATCAGACGCTAGGGTTGCAGGCAGCTGTCTAACCTGCTGTGCTGTAATGCTGGCTCCTAGTCAGTTTTTTTTTAAACTTCCTCAATTATCTTGCTATTATTTTTTACATTTGCTATTCAAATTAAAATCCAAGTAAAATCTTAATGTTGAAGTTGATGTGTCTCTTAAGCCTTTCAGTTTGTAGGATTTCCTTCCATTTCTGTTCTTTATCCTTGCAACTCATTTTTGGAAACTGCAACAACAGCAAACAGGTCCAGAGTTTTCCGCAGTTTGAATATTGCCCATTGCATTCCTGAAGTCCTTTAACATGTTCCTCTGTCCTCTGTATTTTCTGGAAATTAGTAGGTAAACCCAGGGTTTCCCCCATTCGCATGGGTACCATTTGTGGCTGGGTAGTTCTTTATGAAGTTGTCTTGGCCATGTAGGGTGTCTAAACAATATACTGGGCACCAGTAACATTACTAGTTGTGATGACCAAAAATGTCCCTAGACATTGTGCAGTGTCTTCTGGGAGTAAAATCACCCTTTGCGGCTCCAACTTCAGAACCAGTAACGTAGAAGCCAGAGCACCTGCGAAGCCTTCCCTGGAGTGGGCAGGCAGAGGCGAGGGAGAGCACTTTGCATGTAGGTGTACATTTCTGTTGGAAGGCACACAACACCTTGCTGTGTCTCTCTTTGTGATGATCATGGCTGAGGTGCCCTTAGTTGTGGTGGTATTGCGTTATTTGAGATGTCACTTCAGGTATGTAACAGTTACTAGCTGCTGTCAATGAAAACGTTCCCAGGTGATCTGGGTGTAAGCGAGGCTTGGCCTGCAGCAGTCTTCATGGAGCCGGACACTTCAATGTTCCCGCAGTTGTGATGCACGGGGATCCTTCCTTGTGCACAAACTTGGAATCAACTTACGAATATCACTTGTTTACATGTTTCTCAGAAATGAGGTTGTCTGTAGCAATAGGTCTTAGTACACTACCCACCTAGAAACCGCCTAATGTTTGAAAACTCT